ATATTTGAATAACGGTATAACCTAACTTTATTTTTGCATGTTTTGTATGTACCTGTACATATTTCAACATTGAAACTGCTTGGAAAAATGATTAGGAGAATTTATATTGATAGACGTATGGCTTATTATTCTAAATAACTATTAATAATGATAAGGTTTCCTCTGAATCTAGTGCAGTTTTTCCAGGTTCTTATTTTATCTGCGGAGTCAAGAGTTGAAAAGACCACAGACTTGGGTCGTGTGATTTGACTATCATGTGTGAATTACATTATTATGCAAACTCTAGATGTTGTTTTGAATGTTGTTTGGTTAGAGTCTCATTCCCTTTTATTAATATTTGTAGCACATTGAAAGGAAAAATTCAGCACAAATGGACCTGCTTTAAATACAAGCTTTTAAGCATGTTAAGCATAGTAAATATAGCTTAACAAGTACTGAAAACGTGATTTGACGTCAATTAAACCAGAAATGCTACATTATGTTGTTTTCCTTCTTATATTTCCTGTTGTCATTATAAGGCATAAAACGTCCATTTGCGATGTCGAAAGATCGAACAAATACAAATTGCACTTGAACTATGTATCATGAAGCCTTAAATGAGTCACGCTTTTATTAAAATGTGGGTAATTTTACAATCCTCAACATATATCTGATATATTTGGCTCAGAACTTGTGTTGTTAATATCGTAGGTAAATTATTTCTTCCTGGAAAAACTCTTCTTTAATTTCACTAGAAGTCTCATATTAAGTGGCAGAGGTTAATTTTAATGGAGAAAAAAACAAAACAAATCAAAAAGCAAGAACAAACATACTTTAAAAAGAACCGTGATGCCATGTTTTTTTGCACAAAAGTACATATATGATTTAATAAATAGCTAAATTTCTGTCTTTCTTCTCAAGATAATCTGATATTATTAACCAAATTTCAATAACGTTTTCATTTGTATATGAATCTGTGTAATAAAATATCAAAACATTAAAGATCACTGAACTCGAAAAATGAAATATTAGTATTGTAAATATATTGAAAGACACCAGTATCTCCAAATAATATAGATTTACAAAATACTTTGATGAAATTATAATAACAAAATTACATTCAGAATTTTTTTGATAAATAAATCATTATCATAAAAAAGGCCAACCTTACAATTCATTTAACTTGAAAAATGAAATATATTCAATATACATGTATATACATTTTTGTACATCAGTATCTCCAAATAATGTATGATCCGCATATTTTATCCGAGCCTATTGGAAATTGACAGTTATTAAGTTCAGACATATTACTAAGACCTGATTTCCTGTCCAAATCTTTGGTTTATATGCAATTATGTACTCTGATTTTATTCTATTTTCTGTTGTCTAGACAATATACCATTCTCTATATATACCATAGAGAAATAAATACCAATGAAGACTGCCTTAAGATTAGAGACATTTTGAAAAAAAAGAATATAACTCGTATATGGTCTTAAGCGAAGTCCATGTAATATTTTCAAGAAAAAGCCTTAAACTGTTACATTAAAAATACACATATATTGAATTTTGATACTTTACCGTCAATTTGTTTTCCAAGAGAACAAGAAATTCATTTCTTTTAACTGAACAAAAATATCATTGCATGAATTTATCATCTCTTTTAACGTTGAAAAAATATTATTGCATGAATTTATCGACTGGTATTTTATTTAAATGTACTGTATGTCATAAAATTTGGCTTCTTAGCTGATGATATATACTCTCGCTGACTTACGGTTCACACCTGCAATGAAAATAAAAGTTATTAGTTTCGTGTGTCACAAGTGCTTTTCTGGATTTACCGTCATTACGAACTATAAAACCTAAACATTTGAAAGCAAGTAATAACTTGTATATATCCTGGTATTTTATATCGCGAGCACGTGTTCAATTAGGGTTTCTTGGAAACAATTACGATTTAGGAAACCATTTTAAGGACTATTATCCCGGTTACCGGGACCTCGTTCCAGGTATTAGCTGATTGCTATAGGTGTAATACCACCAAATCATAGTATGTCACATCCGGTTGCATATAGGTCGAAAAAAAATATTCCCTTGAATTTGACAGTTGTAGATAATTGATCCTACATTTCATTGCATTTCATATGTCATAAACATATATCTTGGGTATTTCAAAGCACCATTTTTTTTTTTATTTGGGGTTTCTATAGAATATTTTGGAAACTTGAGGTTACATGGTTACTAAAGCTTGTACACAGGTTAAAAAAGGGGGAAAATTTGATTGGTTAACTTCCAGTGATGGTTATTTTCTTATATGCAATGAAATGTTATGTGAAATTTTTTCTATAGTACTGGACAGGATCAAACTTTACTCATGCCAAGTATTTCTTTATTTGAAACAAAGATAAATTCTGCACAATTTTTTGAAAAGTGCAAATTTAACAAAGACTAATAGGGGAAAATCAATGGTGGTATTACACCTATACACTGTTATATTTGTATATGTGTAACATACTGAATATTGCGATCGGGAACCAGTCTAAAGGACTGTTAACTCAATATTTCTTCAGAAATTTTTGTGGAGGGTTCCTTGATATTTTTAATGAATCGCTGATTTCCCTTTGATAGAAAACCAGAATGCCTCATGTAAAATTAGAAAAATATTCTGATTTCATAATAAGCTTAGTTATGATAGAATCCAATTTATTAGATATATGAAAGATTGTTATAGGTTATCGGTGTTTAACAACAGCTGTTAATAGTAAGACTGAATTCGATAAAATCTGTCTATTAGTTTCTGTTTTTGACATCAAGCTCTTTGTTCTTTCTTTCTTTTTTTTAATGGTGATTTACGAATCTCTTCACATTTTACCTCGAAAACAAAGATAAATATTTTGTAATCGGTGTATCGCACTTTTCGACATATAGTGTTTATCTTATTTATGTTGCTTCTTTGTTGTGTTTAATAAGATTTTAACACTATAAAGAATTTTATTATTTTATCGTGCACGAATGTTTTGGGGGTAAGTCGACGGGTACAAATTATGTTTATTTTTTTTTTAAGTCATTGTTATGTTAAATGTACAAGTCCTCCTAACTAGAAGGCCTCACGATACATACGGACAAAAACGAAGAAAAATGAATTGAAGGAACCTGATGTTCAGTGGTTGTCGTTTGTTAATGTGGTTCATAAGTGTTTCTCGTTTCTCGTTTTTTAGCTCACCGGGACCCGAAGGGCCCCATGTGAGCTTATGCCATCACTTGGCGTCCGTCGTCGTCCGTCGTCTGTCGTCGTCGTCTGTTGTCGTCTGTCGTCGTAAACTATTTCAAAAATCTTCTCCTCTGAAACTACTGGGCCAAATACCTTCAAACTTTAAGTGAATGTTCCTTAGGGTATCTAGTTTATAAATTTTATCCGAAGTTTTGATTCATCGACAAACATGGCCGCCATGGCTAAAAATAGAACATAGGGGTCAAATGCAGTTTTTGGCTTATACCTCAAAAACTAAAGCTTTTAGAGCAAACCTGACATGGGGTAAACTTGTTCAATTGGTCAAGATCTATCAGCTCTGAAATTTTGAGACGAATCGAACAACCCACAACCCATTGTTGGGTTGCTGCCACCGAATTGGTAGTTTTAACAAAATTTTGCAGTTTTTTGTTATTATTTTGAATATTATTATAGATATATATAAACTGTAAGCAGCAATAATGTTCAGCAAAGTAAGATCTACAAAAAAGTTTATATGATCAAAATTGTCAATTGACCCCTTAAGGAGTTATTGCCCTTTAAAGACAATTTTACACAATTTGTTCATCAAGTTTGCTAACATTTAAAAATCTTCTCCTCTGAAATGCAGGTGAGCGATTCAGGCTCTTGAGAGCCTCTTGTTTATATAAATTAGACCGTTGGTTTTCTTGTTTGAATGGTTTTACACTAGTCATTTTTGGGACCCTTTATAACTTGCTGTTCGGTGTGAGCCAAGGCTCCTTGTTGAAGGTCGAACTTTGACCTATAATGGTTTACTTTTACAAATTGTGACTTGGATGGAAAGTTGTCTCATTGGCGCTTATACCACATCTTCTTATGTCTATGAGGGGCCTCGGTGGCCTAATGGTCTAAGTAGTCCAACTTCTTTATAACTAGCCAGTCCACACTGAGGTTGTGAGTTCGAAACCTGCACGGGACAGGTGCATTCGACTCCGATCTTAATTGACTAGGATTGTCAGTTTTCCTGCCGAAGGTCGGTGGTTCTCTCCGGGCACTCCGGCTTCCTCCACCAATAAAAACTGACCGCCACGAAATAGCACAATAGTGTTGAAAGTGGCGTTAAACACCAATCAGTCAATCTTATATGTATGTATTATTCATATAACACAACTGAATTATAACAAGACTTCACAAACAAACTTTTAATATAATATAAAGTGAAGTATGAAGACAACAACCAATTTTGGAAAGGAAGATACTAGATTAAAGAATATTTTTCCAACTTTTATGGTTTATGAACATCCAATTTCTATATGCAGGCGACGATGAAGAAAAACGTGATTTTAATTAATTTCTCTTACATTATATAGCAAAACATCAATTAATTATGGTAAAATGTAGGTCTCATTGGGGTCTAAGCGTGACGCGGGATTGGCCGATTTTTCTTAAGCGCGACACGTGAAAGTCAAATTATTTTTGCGTGAAAAAGGGAAAGGGAGTTGGGCGAGACACGTGAAATTACAAGCGCTATTATTACCTTGATAAGCGGGATACGGGATTCTAACAAAACAATAAGCGGAATCCGGGATCAGAACTCCCCAATGAGACCCCCTAAAATCGGCCCATGTTTTCTTCGAGAATGATCATATTTTTGTGACTGCACAATCTTCCGGTTTTGTGTGTAAACCGTGATATATATCCCCTGCTACATGTACAATGAGATTAATAATATTCTTAAATCAATTTATAGGAAAAATTACCTTTGAATAATTTGGTATTAACTTCTTGTATATTTTATTTGCAGTGGATGTATATAGTACCGTTTGTGCTGGTGATGATGTTAGCTGGAAATACAGATCAAAATGCTCAAGGCGGAGGAGGGCGATAACATTCAAATGCTCAAGACGGAGGAGGACGAAAACATGTTGTATATGATTTTTTTTTTTTTTGGTCACCGTCAAATTTTTTTATAGTGAAGAAATGTTTTATTTTTAATATTCAACTTACAAAAAACAACATTTATTCGATTTCCTACCTAAATTTTGAATGCAAAATATTTTATGTAAAAGAGTGATACAAGGAGAATTCCTGATATAGGGTTGTTATACCCAAACTATTACAAAATCAGGTGTCAGGTTCAAATATTTTATTTGTATATGTTTAAAAGAAATCAAATTTTACTACGAATGGTAGGTTGTTATGAATTTTAAGAAGAATGAAAATGTGGATAGAAATTTTCAAACATTTTGCACCATGGGTACGATTTTGCTCTAATTGATATCATTAATCAGAAGCGACGATGCATCACTGTTTTGGACTTTTCTGAGTGGTCCATTCTTCGATCTGGAGGAACCTGAGACTTTGCATGTAATTTATGACGTACAAGAAGCATTTTTAAGTATAGAATTGTTTCATTTTCCATTTTTTGTTTTTTTTTCTATTTATAATCGAAATAGTCGCAGAAAGACATTTTGGTTTTGATGTAATTGTATATAATTCGTTTACCGCCAATTATATTAGAAATATTCTGGAGGAAGTTTATTGTATTCCCTGTTATATTGAATTAATATTCAGAAACCAAGAAATAGATTGACGTGGCCTAAGGTAGTTATGCAATGTTGATACTACGGTGATTAGACTGGTATGAAGCAGGTACGAAGGAACTTCGCATAAATTTATTTTCTATCGTTTCATTTAATTAAACGCTTTGATATAACAATTAGTGAGATGTAAAATGGTTAGAGAGATCATAAATGTGTATGCTTGAGACGACGTTTTGTATGAGTGATACATTACAATACTTTATTCGCTTGATGTCAATCTTTGAAAGAAATTCCATTGTTTGTTCTCGTTTTTCACGAACTATTGTAATAAAAGAATACATAAATGTGTCTGTTTTGTTCCTTACTACCAATACCATAGATAAGCTTTACGTTTGACGAGTCAACGCATGTAACTTGTTTTTGTCTCGCCTTTTGTCGGAGAATACGAGACATAAATGGGGATGTTGATCCGGCGGCGGCGATGTCGACAGTGACAGCGTTAACTATTAGTAAACAGATTTATAGTTCAGGAGGTAGAAAGAAGACCTTGATATTTCATATCTTGTATATAGATAAATGCCTTGTGCTATGAAGTGTCCGTCTGTCATATGTCGAGTATATGTCGTATGTTGAATGTTACTGACCTCATTTTCATGGTTCAGCAATTGTTAATAAAACTGTTTAGTATCTATATCAATTAAATCACTCGAGTAAGAGTAATAGCCTTGATAGCAATATTTGGTATATGTGGTATGAGTGCCAATGAGACAACTCTCTATCCAAGTCACAATGTATAAAAAGTAAACAATTATAGGTCAAAGTACGGCCTTCAACACGGAACCTTGGTTCACACCGAACAGCAAGCTAAATAGGGCTCCAAAAAGACTAGTGTAAATTAATTCAAACAGGAAAACCAACGGTCTAATCTATATAAAAAAGAGAAACACTTATGAACCACACCAACAAACGACAACTACTGAACAAATGGTCTTTAAAGTGTCCGTCAGACAAGATTTACTCGATTTTAATCTCATTTCACGGATCAGTGATTAAGGTTAGGTTTTCGTAGTTGGGTTCATATCTCAGATACTATTAGCAAAGACAAACTATATTGAGAGTATGTAATGATTTGATGGTGTACATTTCTGTCTGACAGGGTTTATCTGTCCTTAATTTCAATCATATTTTCCATTGGTCAGCGTTAACTTTTCGTAACAGCGGCTTATATCGAATTGACCACAATGCATCGAAAACAGTAAAGAAAAAACACAAGTTGCGTTAAGTACATCAACATAAATAAATTCATTTCGACATAAAAAGTGCATTGCTATCGTTTTATTTATATTCATAGTTCAGGAAATTGTATACCTTGGATTCTAACTTATATTACCTAATGATTGATGATGATCAAAGATTTCCCAGGTGCACCTTTGAGGAATGTAGAAAAGAATGTTTGAGTTAATCTGCAAATCAAGCACTTTCAATCTTTCATACCTTTGTTTTAAAAATGACAACACAGGAACTTACGAAGAGGATGAATCTGTTATAAATAAACAATCCGATTTAAGATGGTGACGTTCCCTTGTCACCATCGTATGGTATTTATATATCCCAACTTGTTCGATTCGCTCTTGTATGTAACAACGTATTTGATTTTAACGCAAGAAATCTCTGTATTACTGAACAATTATTACACCTGGGTTTTTGATGTCACAAACTTTTTTGACAAAAATTTTATCATCGGTACAAGGACACCATTCGTAAATATAATCCAACGTGCAGACATCTTATACGTTCAGGTATTTCATATCTATTTTGGTAATATTTTATACAAAGCAAAAACATGTCGTCATTCACCTCAAAAGCTGACCAAACCTTTAAACAGAATTATTCATGAGGGATATAGATACTGTTGTCAAATCATTAAAGATATAATTTTTTGGAATAAATATTGATTCACTCATAGGGTCCTTGCATCGGAAATAAATCTATTATAAAACCAGTTGTCGACATGATGCGGTTTATGTTCTTCTCGTATAATTTATGATGGCATGATACAAAACCCCTAAAGGGAGGGATTGTGGATGATTTTCATATGATGACATAATTTTTCTATCAGTTTGAGGTCTGTAGCTGCCATATCAGTAACTGCTAGTAGTCCTTTGTTAGTTTATGTTTATCATTGTCATTTTGCCTAGATTCTTCTGTTACCTATTCTAACATCGGACCCGGACTTCTTTTAAACTAAGTTTTTCTGTGCATATTGCTGTGTGTATGATTATTCCACATTTGCTAGAGGTAGAAAGGGGGGGGGGGGTTCAGATCTCACAAAACATGTTTAAACCCGCCGCATTTTTGCGCCTGTCCAAAGTCAGTGTTTTTTGTTTTTTGTTTTTTGTTTTTAATTTAGATCATTTTTATGTTTCTGAGTTAAGTATGGTGTCCATTTCGCTGAACTAGTACACATTAATGCTTAGGGACCAGCTGAAGCCCGCCTCTGGTACGGGATTTTCTCGCTGCGTAGAAGACTAACTGGTGGCCTTGGACTGTTTTCTGCTCTTTGGTCGAGTTGTTGTCTCTGACAAATTTCCCTTTCCATTCTCTATTCTATATATATATACATGTATATGTGTATTTTTTTTAAGGGGGGGGGGGGGGCACTTTTTAAAATAGTTCTTTGATTAAAAAATTACTGGCCGATCCATTAGGTACTTTAATGAGCGATTAAATATGTTTCAGTTATCCTATAAGCTCAATTTGTATCAGAAATAAAAGAGGGACCAAAAGAACAAACATTTTAATCGTTACATTTTACATTGATTTCAGCGAGATAAATAAATTGACCAGACTTATGCTAGCGACCAAAAGACCAAAGTCTCAAAGAATGTTAGTGTTATTACAGGTATTCGGTTTTTAGGCATGATCAGTTTGATGCGGTTTTTGTACGACTCCATAAATTTGGGTTACTTTATAAATTCATCATAGAAACCAGGATTTGTTTTTACGCCACACGCGCGTTTCGTCAACAAAAGACTTATCAGTGACGCTAGAATCTAAAAGGTTGAAAAAGCCAAAAAAAAAAAAAAAAAAAACGAAATTGAAGTAAATGTGCATGCTGTGTTGTATCATGAATGGATAAGCGGTATTCTTTCTTTATCATTATTGAAGGTTCTCTAGCTTGACCCAAGCTAATATAATGCTTAAGACGTTTATTAAAGCCTATGCTGAATGTTATCCAATTAACCATATGGTAGAAAAAGAGGCGAGAGATACCAAAGGGACATTCAAAACTTGTATGTCGAAATAAGCTGATAACGCCATGGTAAAACAAACACAAAAAACCCGACGAAAAGTTCACAACACACTACAAAGAGAACTAAAGACTTAGCAACACGGACCTCACCCAAAACTGGAGGTGATCTCATGTTCTCTGGAAGGGTAGACAGATCAGGTTCTACTAGTGACACCTTCGTAATTCCCATAGATATATAAATTTGGACAATGAACGCGCAATTTTTAAATGCTACAGGTACAGTTTATTGCATTTTTCGTGAAGATGCATATTATTTAATAATGTATCATTCTTGCCTAATGTCAGAAAGGAAACACCAGAATAAAGGAATGTTTACTTATTTCATAATGAATCTCTGTTTATGGTAGAACTCACAATTCTTAAACGATAATATGAAATGTTTGTCGAAATGAGATATCTACAATATTCATGAAAAATTAGAATTAATTGACTTCAGGATTTTCAAAATAGATGTGATTTCAAAAGAATGCAGTTTTATGGGGTTTAAAATTTCATAAAATGAATCATTTAAATTGAACCTTACGGGTTTCTGTATCATCCATTTCAATACAATATTTGACATTTATATTTGCCCATATATATTTATTTTATGGGGAAAAGAGCTATTGTTATTTTTTAAGATTTTAAGAATTTTTTCTTTGTACGTTGTTATAAAGTATCATAAAAGACCAACACATTTTCCTACAAATGCTTAATTAATATCTGACAGAATGGAAATGTATCGTGTATCAATTCATGATATAAAATTCATAAATGCACATGAAAAAGAAAACAACAAAAAGCAGAGAAAATACGAATGTATTGCTCTTATTCATCTCAAAGTCACGCTGGGGTCTTCAACCTGGTGAAAAAAGTCTCACCTCACTGCAAGTTCAATGCGGCCCCTAGAACTGATCTGACAGTCAGGTTGACTTAAAAGAATGTAAATATTCATGATTTTTTGTTTACATTTACAAGAAAACAAATCTAGCTTCAAACATTTTTCAAAACATCTGTTGAATTATTTTCATTAACATAGTGTAAACAAATATCTGGTAGATATAAATATATAAAATGTATAATGATTTCATTTCGTACAGTAAATTGAAATCTGATGATTTGCTGTTCTGCATGTTTATGAGTAACATTTACTTGTATAATTCCAATTCGAAACTTCGTAGAAGTCATTACACACCGTTTAAAGATGTACTTAGGTCAGGTTTAGGACTTTTTGTCAGATGTTCGGACTCCTTGCTTTTTTTCCTACGATACAGGGTAAAATATTTTGCCCCATAATACCTATTTTTGTTTGCATACAAGACTTCAATAGCTCATAAAAGGTCATTTATCAAAATTTAAGCAGATTCAAGATTTCTTTCCTTTCGATTTGAGACCCAAATAATACCTTTGCAAATATAAGGTAAAAATCCAAGTCAGCCTTTTCCCGCAATTTTTTTTAAAAATTAAATATCTCGAAAAGGAGCTCCATAACCTATCAATATTTTTAGCTTATTTTGTTCCTTAACTAATGCTCTTCTGACTTATAGTATCAATTTTAAATTCTATGTTTTTTTAATTTCACCTAAGTACACCCTCAAGACATTTACAATGCTATCACAAGAATTTATTTCTTCTATCAAATAATGAAAAAGAGCGACATGGGACTTAAATATTTATGACATGAGACATTTGATTAAAAACAAAGGAACAGCACTTCCATAAATGACCTTCCTCTCAAGGCTACAGCGAAGCAAAAGTTTATACCTCTCTGCAATCAGTAACGGTCGATTACAACGGTTTGAGCGGAATTCTATACTATATGTTAAAAACACTACATCTGTGTTTCAAGAGAATACAGATGTGACTCAGATAATATAAAAATGATCAAATCAAATTGAGAATGGAAATGGGGAATGTGTCAAAGAGACAACAACCCGACCAAAGAGCAGAAAACAGCCCAAGGCCACCAATGGGTCTTCAACACAGCGAGAAAATCCCGCACCCGGAGGCGGGCTTCAGCTTGCCCCAAAACAAAAATGTGTACTAGCTCACTG